CTGGCCAGGTTGGAGCAAGCTGCTCTAGTGGAAGGTGTCCCTGCCTGTGGCAGGGGTTGGAACTGAATGAGCTTTAAGGTCACTTCCAACCCAAACCAGTCTGAGATTCTGTGATCTTCCAGGACTTCTAGAAGCTGCACCTTCAATCCTGTGTTCAGCTCTGTGCCCCTCGCAACCAGAGAGACATTGAGGTGCTGGAGGGGGACCAGAGAAGGGCAGCGGAGCTGGTGCAGGGCCTGGAGCCCAAGTGTGATGGGGAAGGGCTGAGGGACCTGGGGGGTTCAGTGTGGAGAAGAGAAGGCTCAGGGGGGACCTGATGGCTGCCTACAAGTGCCTGAGAGGAGGATGGAGGCAGGAGGGGCTGGGCTCTGCTCCCAAGGAACAAGGGATGGGACAAGAGGAACCGGCCTCAAGCTGCACCAGGGCAGGTTTAGATGGAGCTGAGGAACAATTCCTGCCCCAGAGGGTGCTCAGGCATTGGAACAGGCTGCCCAGGGCAGGGCTGCAGGCACCGGCCCTGCAAGTGTTCACACAGCGTGGAGATGAGGCCTCAGTGCCATGGGGCAGTTGTGGCCTTGGCAGTGCTGGGAATGGTTGGACTTGAGGGGATGTTAAAAGTCTTCTCCATTCCAGCTGATTCTATGATTTGAGCAGGACAGCTCCCTTTCATTTATTTAGTTTGTTTTGAAGTGTTTTTTTTGTTGGCTTGAGAAGACACGAGGAGCTGACTCGGTTTTGTTGTGCTCTTGGGGATCTTTCCATTTAGTAAAAAGGGGTCAGATAAAACATTAAGAGAGAGAATTTGCTTAAGATGTGCTCTCAAGATGAAACCCCGATGCTTCGTTGCAGATCAGTGGCCTCTGCAGATCTTTTTATAGTGAAATAATTGAATGGGAGTATCCATTCTGAGATTATTGGGGAGTATCCTGAGTCTATTCGTGATACTAAGAGGGGAAATCTGCTTTAGTTGGTGCTGTGCTTCCTGCCACAGTGGTAACAGTAGACAGTGATCATAGCATGAGAGCTGGTAAACCCCTCAGGCATTTTCCATCCATTGCAAGCAGTACAGTGAGAACCCACAAAAATACCCAGTGTAAAAGTACCTGAATCAATGGGGACTTGTTCCTGGAATCACCTTTTGGGGTTGTTTTCTCCTATTCAGAGAGAGGAGAAACAATCCATTGCTGCCAGAAATTCCACTCAGGATTTCTTTGTTCCTTCCATATAATTAACCCTGAGGATTTTTTCCCTGATTTGATTCATTCTGTATTTGTAGGCACCACACAAGAGTGAAGAAACAAGAACAGTTAAAACCAGGAAAGGAAACCAAACTGCTCTCAGATAAGGCAGGGACGTTTGATAGCTGGGAGCCTTTAAAGATAGGTTTTGAAGATAACTGTATCCCTTTAATTTCAGGAGATAAGAGGCTGCAGGTACCTGATTTTTAAAACCAATTCTGTTTTCCAGGAGCTTAACCACGAAAAGTGCTGCTCCTTCAGCATTTAGACTTGGAAATACTGGTTTTCAGGGCTAATTTCTTCCTGTTTGACACTGTAATACACATTACTAACAAACCCTCAGGATTCTGTTGCCACTTACTAAACAGGGGAGGAAAATGAAAAGGCTTTATTCAAAAATAAATAGCTAATCTGGGATGACAGACACAAAAATATCTCGGCTCTAAACATGTTTGTTGCCGCGGCAGGAAAGGCTCCGTGCTGTAATCTTTAGTTTCATACCCTAAGTATAGCTTGAGTCCTAAAATTTACCTCTAATTCTAAGTTTCCTTAACTCACTGTTTGTTTTCAGAGTAAGTGCACTATCTCTGCTGTATCAGACCTGAGTTTATCTTCATGCTGATTTTCATCTGGGTGGCTGTCTTAAAGGCAACTAATAGTGCATTATGTTCTTAGTCCCTGAATCTTCAGCTCTTACAAGTGACATGATTGGACTCAATTCATGAAGTGATACAGCAGAGTCACGTGTTCTTGGAATAGAAGCATGCAATCATAGAATCACCATGGAATGGTGAAGGGAGCTTAAAGCTCCTCCAGCTCCAACCCCTGCCACAGGCAGGGACCCCTTCCACTGAAGCAGCTTGCTCCAAGCCCCTGTGTCCAACCTGGCCTTGAACACTGCCAGGGATGGGGCAGCCACAGCTTCTCTGGGCACCCTGTGCCAGCGCCTCAGCACCCTCACAGGGAAGAAGAATACATTCTTTTCATCCATCAGGTGTCTATGGTAGCTGCCCTCCCCTGATAGAACCTGCAGGCAAACTCCATAGATAGTATTTATCTGATAGTTGTTCAGATAAGATGTCTCAGTAACAGCGTAGTTTGCAGGTCTCAGATTGCTGTGATTTGATTCTCATAGAAATAACAACATGGATTTGGACTTGCAGGATGTTTGTTGTGATGGATTTTGGTGGCAGGTTGTCTGCTGTGTGTGTGATGAGTGTGTGAAGGGGCAGGTTGGACAGGGCTTGGAGCAAACTGCTCTAGTGGAAGGTGTCCCTGCTCGTGGCAGAGGGTTGGAACTGGATGAGCTTTAAGGTCCCTTCATCCCAAACCATTCTATGATACTCTTCATCCTTGGTGGTGCTGGACTTGCTCCTTCAGCAGCACTGGGTGATCAGTTTGGTCACTAGGTAACTAGTTGGTCTTTGCAAAAGCACACAAAATGGGTGAGAATCCATCGTTAAATGTTAAAGACACCACTATTTTCACTTCAGGCTCTTTAGTTTCTCTAAACTTACATCTGTTAAAAGCCGTAGATCAGGAAAGTTCTGGAAATCCACTTTTCCAAGGTTATTATCAATTTACCTGTTTGGGATTTTGCCTTGTATCCCATGGCATGCAACAACCACCCCTTAAAAATACCTTAGTGTAAGAACATTGAGACACAGCCAAACCTCAGACAATACAATAGCACTTAAAGTCTTGAACTGAGTCTTGTTAGAGCTCATCTACATTATGACTTATTGTCAGGTTTATATGAAGTTAAGTTAATAATGCCTAAATAGGTTTATTTTCTCTTTAGGAAATTAAATAGGGTTGACTGGGCTTGAATTGCTGTTTTCAGATGAGTAGCTCAGAGGAGAGCAGCAGCACTGAGAAGAAACCTCAGCCCTGCAGCATCTGCAGACCTGATGCTGCGCTGAGACCCCAGGGGATGTATCAACGAATGAAGCTGCTCTTTGAACTGTGTCCCATGGAACTGTGATTTCTGAGCTGTTGTAATACCAAGTGATGCTTTGATAAAGCAAACTGGCAGTGTGTTTTTGGAGAAAGATGATATTAATCAGATTAAAACCAGGAGGTTGTCATGGGCAAGCAGACTGAGTTTGGAAGGGTTTCAGTGAGCCAGCTGTGGACCAACAGTGTTTATTAGTCACCAGCACAAATGACATGTCATACAGAGGGGCAGAACAGTAAGGGATGGCCCATGAAATAGAGCAGCTGATGGACACCTTGGTGTCTCCTGGTCCCCAGCTGCCCAGCCTGGAGGGACAGTGCAGTGTGTTGTAAGAAACCCAGCAGGGTGCTGGGGAACATCAGCAAGTGCATTACCATGGGGATAAAGGTGTCATTGTCCCATTCTGCTGGGTGCTGGTCAGGCCACCCCTGGAACATGGGGTCAGGTTGGGTCCTGCTGCACAGCAAAGCTGTGGCTGGCCTGGAGAGGGGCCAGAGAAGGGCCTCAAAGATGCTCCAAGGGCTGGGCAGCAGTGAGGAAAGGCTGAGAGAGCTGGGACTGCTCAGCTGGAGAAGAGAAGGTGCAGGGAGACCTGATCCATGTGCCAGGAGGTAAAGGGGGGCTGCAGGGAAGATGGAGGCTCCGTTTGGACAAGGAGTCCCATGGGAGAGCTGAGGGGTGATGGGCACAAGTTACTGCTGGGAGATTCCCACTGGACATAAGAGGAAAACTTTTCCCACTGAGAGCAAGCAGCCATTGGAATAATGTCCCCAGGGAGGCGGTGACTCCACAGCACTGGACACTGTTAAGACTGGGCTGCACAGGGTGCTGGGCATCCAGTCTGGGTCATGCTGTGCCTAGAAAGGTTGTAGCAGGTGATCCTTGAGGTCCCTTCAACCTGGGATTCTATGATGTGGAGACTGTTTATCTCTCCCCTTTAGATGTGCTCATCAAGGGCAGGTTCCCATAGCTTGGTACCTTGGGCTTGTCATCTTTGTGTTTGATTTAGGCTGCATTCAAAAAGGAAGCTAGAATAGATGTGAAGCAATGCTGCTGGAGGTAAGAGTGGCCTCCAGAACGAGAGTGGAGTTAGTGTTGTGAGTAGTCATGCTCGAAGGGATGACAGTGGCGTGCAAAGCAGGTTTGTGTGAACACGAGGGTTGACGCCGTAGCAAAAATGCAGATGCCTAGTTTTGATCTTTGTTAACTTTATGAGCAAGGAAATATTTAGAAGAGACAAAATCCCATTCCTGTATTTGGGACTCGTGACTTTCATATGGGAAGATTGTGTATGAGTTCCATGGCTTGAAATAGCTCTTGGTTAAGTCGTAGGGGAACAGAAGAGACACAAAAATAGGCTGAGGACAAGAAGAAACACACAGAGAGAAGCTCAGAGCAGCAGTCTGGTTTGCTTATCAGGGGGAGTGCTTGAGTGCAGTAGCATCATGGAGTGGAAATTCCAGGGACTGAGTGTTCTTCCAAGGAAGTTGCACCTAAAATCAGTGTTTTAAAGGGGAAGTTGGGCAGGGCAGAGGAAGTGAGGCATTATTAGGGAGGTGGAGCACCCCTTGTCATGAATGATCAGAGGGAAAAATAGCACTTTCCATCACTAGAAATCCCCCTATTTGATCATTTTCTTTTCGAACTGTGTAGGCTGATACAGAGGGTATGTTCTTGTTGAGTATTAGGTTCAGTTTGTGGGTGCTATTTAACAGCATGCGGCAAGAGAAGGGGAATTTCATTGCAGTTGTGGTATTTTTTTGGCCTTTATGCTGATGAAACCATGAAAAATCTGTTCTTTTCAGGCAGGAAGAATCATGGAAAGGCCCCAGGCACCGTTAACCTGTGGGTGCATCACAGGGGTCGTGATAGGGGGTGATGGAGTTCAATTGAAACACCAGTTTTTACTTAATGGGTCAACTTTTGCTTTAGGTAAATGGAGCTGGTGCAGGGCCTGGAGCCCAGGTGTGATGGGGAAGGGCTGAGGGACCTGGGGGGTTCAGTGTGGAGAAGAGAAGGCTCAGGGGGGACCTGATGGCTGCCTACAAGTGCCTGAGAGGAGGATGGAGCCAGGAGGGGCTGGGCTCTGCTCCCAAGGAACAAGGGAGGGGACAAGAGGAACCGGCCTCAAGCTGCACCAGGGCAGGTTTAGATGGAGCTGAGGAACAATTCCTGCCCCAGAGGGTGCTCAGGCATTGGAACAGGCTGCCCAGGGCAGGGCTGAGGCACCGTCCATGCAAGGGTTCACACCCCATGGAGATGAGGCCTCAGTGCCATGGGGCAGTGGTGGCCTTGGCAGTGCTGGGAACGGTTGGCCTGGATGGGCTGAAAGGGCTTTTCCAACCTGGTTGGTTCTGTGATTCTATGGTTAAAATTAGTACTTCATTCCCTTAAAAATCCCGGTGTGGGATGGCACTCTGGGAAGGGCAGCTCGAATTAACTGCAAGCAGAAGACAAGCCCTAAAAACGCTGTCGCGCACATGGTGGCCATGTGAATGGAATTGTGTTGCTGAGAGTTAAGGTTAAAAGTCTGGTATTTATTCATAGTATAGAGTCTCTAAAAGCTGTAAGACACACGTGGCAATGTGGCTTGCTTTGAGGTTAGCTGCTGGTGCCATGGACAGTGGGATCGAGCACCCTCAGCAGGTTTGCTGATGGCACCGAGCTCTGTGATGCAGTGACACTGGAGGGAAGGAGGGATGGGATCCAGAGGGACCTGGCCAGGCTGGAGAGGTGGGACCGTGTGGACCTCATGGTGCTCAACAGGCCAAGAACAAGGTCCTGCTCCTGGGTCAGGGCAATCCCCAGCACAAACCCAGGCTGAGGGAGACTGGATGGAGCAGCTGGATGAGCTTTAAGGTTCCTGCCAACCCAAACCAGTCCATGGTTCTGTGAAGTCCGACGATGCTCACAGGGCAGTGGACGTGATCTCAGCTTTGTATCAGTTGAGGGGTGGATTTATGAAGTGCAACCACCTGTATAATTACTATTTACAAACCATCTGTAAACTCCCTTTCCCCCCAAACTGATCTCATCCTGAGCGTTTACCTGGGACTGTTCTGCCTTTGGCACCTAATTCAGAAACCTTTATAAAATGCATTTGGATGTGCATGTCAGCTCAAATGATGCCACGAGGATACTGAAAGGTGTGTGAGCTGCAAGACAAAGACCCTGTTGAAATCCTCTGGCTCCAGGTGATGTATTGTGGTATGTGGAGGCCTCCAGATGATCTGTTGTGGTCATTGAAGCCCGGGTATGACTCGGACTCTATTCATAGCAGCTTTCAGAACACGTGCCTCATGCATCGATCAGGCTTTGTCTGCATCTGAAACCTGCTTCTGCCAGTGCTGCCTCACAGTCCAAACTGCTGGTTGGAGTGATGTTTGATGTGATCTAAGAATCCTTTAGATGTATTGTCAAGGGATTCAGAGCTAAATAAATGACAGGAAAGATGAGATCCTCACAAGCGTTTGGATAACATAAGCAAGACTAATGGTTTTTAAGCTGTTGTCTGTACAGAGGGATGGGATTGATCAAAGGAAGTAAAAATTGGCTCCGTGACTTCTTTGTACCAAAAGCTGAATATGAGCAGCTGAGGTGAGAGATTTAGGGCATAGGGAAGAACCTGAGCGATGCAGGAAACTGGGGTGGGAGGTGGTGAAAGTGCAGGTTGACAACTCTGTCCTCTTTACCTACATTTTCCTGTAGGGATTGGCTGTAGAAGACTTTGGAGAGGCTGGTGTAGCCTGGATGTTTTAGTCAAAGCCCGTTATTGTGCTATGAGGAAGATAGGAGTTTCTAGAAAGCTGGTCTGCTTTGCCATCTGGGGAATACAAGAGTTGAAGATGTGGAAGGTTGGTGGTCAAGGGGATGTGAATGTGCTTGAGGAGGAAGAAGGGGAAGAGCAGATTTTCCTGTGCCTCCCTCCCTGCCTTTCCACTGTCTACTGCAAATACCATTTCTTTGCAATTCCTGCCCCTGAAGTAGGAACTGAAGTGTTTGTTTCCACACCTGATGCTCAAGTCAGCAGAAGACATTTAAAATTTCCCCATGTTTTAGTGTTCCCTACAGCAAGTGATGGTCCAATAGTGATGAAGCTCATTAGGAGAAGGAAGGATGAGAAGAAGGAAGGCTCCTTAAGGGGAGACCTTAGAGCAGCTCCAGTGCCTAAAGGGGCTCCAGGAAAGCTGGAGAGGGGCTTTGGACAAGGGCCTGTAGGGCCAGGCCAAGGGGAATGGCTTTAACCTGCCCGAGGGGAGATTGAGATGAGCTGTTAGGCTTTGCTGGCACCAGATTAACTCATCTGTCCATGTGTTTGGAGCAGATTACTGGTACAGTCTCTCTTCTGTCTCCAGATGCAGTCAGATGTGAAAGATAGGACAGCTTCACTTCGTCTGACTCTTTACTGTCCATCACTAGCTACATAGGTCAAAGACAGCAGATGTGAAATATGGTCTTACATTGTTTTCTTTTAGTTGGTTGAGATAATGTTCTAAAATACACTGAAAAGCATCTGCTTAGGAATAAACACAGGTGTGCTCATTCCATGCCAATATGAGGGATTGGCTTTGGAAAACCAAGGTGATTTAAACCCATTTGTGAAGATGGGAATAACTGTGCAAATTGTGATCACTTGGAACCTCTCCTTCACTCCAAGTGTCAGTTGTAATCCTTTAGAAACCACTTGCTTTTTGAATAGTACAAAGAATATAACCCCCTTGAAAGAAATCAGGAAGAATCCTGCTCTTGAGCTAATGACATCCAAATTCAAGTGTGTGTTTTTAATAAAGATTAAATGATCTGTTCAACCATTTCAGGCTCTGCTTGAGCCTCACACACCTGTGGGTTGCTTTGAGAGGGTTTTCCTCAGTAATTAAGAGCACTTTGCCTGTGGTGGTGCTCAATTGGGTGTCACAAGGAACCTGAGGAGACAATGAAATGCTTTTAATTGCAGACAGACTAAATGCCTGCTACTTCATGTACTGGAGTATACCGTGGCATGACCCCCAGGTTGTTATCACCTAACAGCAAGAGTGATTGCTCAGTAAGGAAATGTAGCTGCTTCATTGAGGATAGTGTTAATGAAGCCCTTCGCTTACCTATAGTCAACATTCCCCATTTATCAGACTTCTTGAAGATGATTTCTAAGGTTGGCAATGTAGAATTGAAACATCTGGATGATCTCGACTGCTGGTTTATGTTTCAGAAGAGGGACGTGGATGTTTCCTCAGGAGCTGCAAAGGTGAATGATTATCTTTAACTGATAAAATTGTATGGAGAACTTGCTTTTTGTGAGTGTGTGCATGTGGGTGAGGACAGTCATCAGCCAGGGGCTTGTGTGCAAGATGGTGCCTGTGCTTATCGGGTGCAGGGAATGATGCTTTAGTCAAAAGACCCACTTACCTCCTCAGCTGCTTTAGCTGCATGTTTCATGTCATAGAATCACACAGTGCTTTGGGTTGGAAGGGAGCTTAAAGCTCCTCCAGCTCCAAACCCTGCCACAGGCAGGGACCCCTTCCACTGGAGCAGCTTGCTCCAAGCCCCTGTGTCCAAGCTGGCCTTGAACACTGCCAGGGATGGGGCAGCCACAGCTTCTCTGGGCACCCTGTGCCAGTGCCTCAGCACCCTCCCAGGGAAGAGCTTCTGCCTAAGAGCTCAGCTCAGTCTGTCTCTCCCTCTCTCTCCATATATAAATATGCTCAGATTTGCTTTCCCAGCCAATTGTCTTATGTTGAAATGTGCTTTCTACTCAGGAGAGATGGAGAACTGCTGGAAAATAGGAAATTGCTGTCTGCTCTGAGTTGTCTGTGTTGCTTTAAGTGCATCTCTGGCTGTATTTTGATATATTCTTAGAACATAGCGATTGCTGTGGTGGGATCCTTTGGCTGATCCCTGTTCTCCAGCTTTGCCTGTGATGCACAGCTTGATATTTGAAACTGCAGAATGAGTGTGAAGCCAAAGATGCAAGAGGATGTAGCTGTGGGGGCCAAAAAGCAAGAAGTCTCACTGGGATACCTTCTCTTTTCCATCCCATGTGTCCCTTTCCGCTATTGCCGACACAGACAGGAGTTGCAAATCTCCTTAAGGCTTGCAGCAGCCACAGACCTTCCTCTGCATCCCCTCTCCGAGGGCTGCTGCTCAGTGATGCTGCTCCTTTGGGAAGGGTACAAGTTATTCTTCCTCCTAGCAAAATCCATCGAAGATGAAAAATGGTTGTACAAATACTGAAGTAATAACCTTGTCAGGGCAGCTCGACCGCTTCTATTTTTAGGACTATTATATACGAGAAAGGGCTGCACTAGGCAGAATGTGCTTTAAATATTAAATTTCTCTTAAAATTTCCTATTCATTTGGCAAAAGGGATCTTGGAGCCTTGTCTGTGGGAATGGGAGTGATTCTTGCTGCCTGTCCTCCCTTATCCACTTTTATAGAGGGGTTCTGTATATATCAAGCTTGCCATTTCATTGATGCCTTCATCTTTCCTTCAGAATTAGAAGCACCTTCAGTTGTTCCTGGAGAGAGATTAGTTTTGCTGGTAATTGAAGAATATTATGGGGTTTTGGCTCAAAAATAGGCTGCACCTGTGAGATGGCTGCAGGAAGCAAGGAATGTGCCTGTCATGGTGGGCAAATAACTCATGTGAGAGTGGAACAAGGGCTGTTAGTGCAGAGCAGAGCTGGAAACACATGCTGGGTCTTTGGGAGGACCATGGCTCTTCTTCCAGCTAAGGATGTACCAACAGGGCAGGGTGCAGCTTCTGTTATGGTGTTGGCTGTAACAAGAACAACTGCCAGAAAAGAAGACCAAGATCCCTGTAACTTTTAGGCTTGATTTGCTGTAGCCATGTGTTTATTTAGTGCTCACAGGTTGTTCTTGGGTGTAAATGCAATACTTCATAGAATTCCAGCCTGGTTTGGGTTGAAGGGACCTTA